TTTTAAAGCAGATTTTTGGAATAGGTTAAAGAACCACTGTTCTGACTTTAGTATTTCAAGCGTAATAAGAATGACTCATGTAAAAAACTCAGAGGAAAAATTAATAATAAGGAGGTTAAATTTAAAGTATGTTTTATCATCTTATGTTCTTATTTGTTGCTTGGAGAAATTCACACATTCTTGTACAAGGCCTACCTCATTCGCTGYGGCTGTGGTTATTTCTAGTTAAAGCATGTACACAAAAAACTCACATATTCATGTCTCCARTCAGACTGGGCAATTCTACCCATTTCTAACACCTTAGGCTGGCCCTCAACTATGTTTTCCTTTCTCACATTGCTAACCTGAAACACATATTAWTTCCCTCTGCTTTCACTTTATCAGCCAGTTATTAAACTGAAAGAAAGTGATATGAACAACAGCTTTGAAGTTAAAAGCAATCACAATATATATTGAGAGCAACATCTCCCACCATTTTGGGGCTGGTTAATCCCTACTGATCAGGCAGCACTAAACACTGCTAGAAGAGTTGCTAGAACCTATTATGGCCTTGTATACATATATTTAAATAGTAATAAAAAACGAACAGAAATCATAATTTCCAGATCACCCAAAATCTATCTGCCAAAACATTAAACAGCATACAGACTGACTGAAAAGGCAACACACAGAATGTACTATACTGAAGTACACTTTGAGTGAAAAAGACTTTTTACTTAAAAAATCCTGAAGCTTGATTTAAGAATTCCTTTTCTGAAAAAAAAACGTATATACACAGAATTTTACGCATTCAAAGATGCCAGCCCTCCACAATGGGCATATTCTTTCTGGTATTTTTGAAGCCAGAGTTCTGCAGATGTTGACTTACAGGGACTGAATCGGTTGGATAATGGCTAAATTCTACCTTTCTTCTCACAAAATATAAGTACTTCAGGACTCTTTCTCTAAATAGTCATTGATTTTCATCTTAAATATTTTTGCATTGTTTTCATATTTGCTGATACAGGGTAACRGATTCAAAATTTATTTAGGTGAGAACAAGGTGATAAGCAATCATCTAAGCCTTGTTTTGTCAGGAAAGTAGAATGCAAACTCACCAACTGTGTATTTTACAAGCTCTGTTCTCCAAATAAAGCCAGCAGAATGTTTTGAATATTTAAATGCCATCAGCCAAGATGGAAATGGTCTCCATTACAAGATGGAAATGCTCTCCATTACAAGATTAGAGCTGAGTGGTGTAGGTTAGTTTTGAAACTTATTTTACTCCAAAGAAAGTGCTATGAAGAAATAGGAAACTTGACTTGTGCTTTAACACATTACATTAGGAAAGTATTTTGAGCATTTTCTGTCTCGGTAAARAGAGAATCTTAGTCTACACAACATTCTGCATTTTTAGCATCCAAGATATTAAAACTATGTCCCATTAGCCCTGTCTCTTGACTTTTCAGATTACAGGGTACAATATACACACAGGTATGAACATGGGAAGGAATCTTCTAAGTCCTCATTGCAATGACATAACATAGAGAATACAGTTTTGAACAAAACTCTCTGTATGTTTTTAAAAAACATACACCTACAGAGACTTAAAAATATTGACCTGCCTGACACCATCCACTGCCTAACAGGCTGGCACTAGTTATATCCTGCTGTTGTTCACCCCTCGCTTTTCTTTTGAGTGAGAAATCTCACTCTGACTTTKCAAGCACCCTATATACATCACCACTTGGAATCAACTTACACTTCCTTCCACACATGCTAAAATCACCTGTACTCYATGAATTATCTCCACTGCTGTCAGCAGCTGACATTACAGATCAAGTTACTGTGCAGTGTATGTTCCTTAGTCCTGTCCCTACTATTCACACCTTTCACAGATACATAGCTTCCGTTCTCTCTCATAACAGATACTGAGACCCCTTAATAAATGCATGAAATTAAGATCAAAAGAAGTTTTACATTACTTTCTGAATTGTTACTATTTTGGTTCTCTCACATTCCACGTGGAACAAGATAAACCAAGGCTCAAGATTCTAAGGAGCRTTATATAGCACTTTAGTAAGTCTGCTGGAACTGCAAGTTATGTACKCCTTTAAGAAACACGACTGTAGAATTCAAACAGCTGTCTGGTTCYGATTCTTCCATTTTCTGAGAAATTGAGCTGGTTTTGGTTTGGGTGGAGCTAATTTTCTTTGCAGTGGCTTATATGGGACTGTGTTTTGGATTTGTGTTGAACACAGAGATGATAATATAGAGATGTTTTTGTTATTGCTGAGCAGAGCTTACACAGAGCCAAGGTTTTTCTGCTTTTTGTAYTGCCACGCTAATGAGGAGGCCAGAGGTATAAGGGAAATTGGGAGGAGACACAGCTGGGACAGATGACCCCAAATAACCAAAGGATATTCCATACCATATGACATCATGCTCAATATATAAAGTGGGAGGAAGAAGGAGGAAGGGTGAGATGTTTGGAATGATGGTGTTTGTCTTCCCAAGTAACTGTYATGCGTGATGAGGCCCTGCTCTCCTGGGGATGCCTGAACACCTGCCTCCCCATGGGAAGTAGAGAATTAATGCTTTGTTTTGCTTTGTTTGCCTGCACAGCTTTTATTTTACCTACTAAATTGTCTTTATATCAATCCATGCGTTTTCTAGCTTTTACCCATCTGATTTCTCCCCAATCCTGCAGTTGAAGGAGTGAGTAAGGGGCTGTATGGTACTTGGTCAGTGGCTGGGGTAAACCATGACAGAAATTCTACATGACTGTTTAGTGTTCAAACAACAAAAGAACAGATAATATGTGTAGCTGAAAAAAAACCCAAAAACCAATCCAGCTTGAAATTAACTCCAGGTTTCTGACCACAGTAAGTCTTCTAACAATTTAAAAAGGGRAAAAAATTAACCACAGGAACAGAAACAAAAAAAGAAATACAGGCTGTTCCCATCTTTGAGGTGCAAAATGTTCTTGAACTGTTCTATTCTAAAAAACAACATGGGAATTCATTGTGATGTCTCAAATACTGTTTTTCAAAGTGTTGCAGCTCTGTTACATAATTTTCTCCACAGACATCCAACTGGTGCTAACAATTAGTGAGCAATACTTAGCATCTAACCTTATGGTTATTACCACATTTAAGTGGAAAAACAAAAGCTGTAAGTCTAAAGATATAAACCATGGGTCCAGTAACATTCTTGTACATATTAAAAATCCCCCAGGACTTCAGTGAAGTCAGACTTTTCTAACTTTTTGCATTGCAGGGGAGTATATTACCTCTTTGTAGTGGGCAATACAGTGACATCTACATAGTGCTAGCACCTCCTAGCAGCTGCAACAGATCTTAAAAAGAAATATAGAAGACAGTAAATGGCATAAAAGTGTGGCAGGCCAGGACTTGAATTCAACTGTTAAGTTTAGAAGGTCCCATCACYACATTAACATTTAATTAAAAGTCATAGAATTCCTCACTGAATTACCAGAACTCAGCTATAACTTAACATCAGTGATGCAGCAGATGAATGCCAAACACACCCACTTCTAATTTAAAAGGAAAATAATTAACATATCCCTTCACTGCTGAGGTTTTCTATGATACTGMATAAACTAAAGGACATTCTCCAGAAGTGTCTCCGTGTTTATGTGAGAGAGAGACGGAGAGAGAGAATACTAAAAGAAATGCCAGGACAATATTAGCCAAAAAAAAATTAATTAGGGAAACAAAAACAGAAAAAAACTCAAAAAAAAAAAAATTAAAAAACCAAACAGCATTAGGCAATGCATGATGTGCTGTACATTTTAAATGCTCTACTTTTTAAATCCCAGTCTTCAGTGCTAACCAGTAAGTCATCATCTAAACACAGTCTAATTCTGGATGAGTTTTGGTCTATACAGATCCTTGATCAATTGCTATTTATTCTGACACAGTAAAATTCATATTAAGGAGTCAACTGTTTGAGATGCTTTTTCTCATGAAATGTCAGGGCATCATGTTTCCCAAAATTATAAAAATTCCTAATCCATAATGTTCAGCCTATAATGTGACAGCAGGAGGAAAGATAGCTGTTAATCCAGGGGTTTTAATTAATTTCACCTTGACACACCCCCAGTATCTTCCTACTGAATCCATTTCAGCAAGGCTAAAAATGTTGAGAGCAGCAAATGCAACTACCAGAAGGATTACTGTGGGCTGAAGAATAGTTTTAAGGATTTCCTATGAGAGCCGAGAAATTGACTAAAGTTTATTTCTCCCTGTACCTGTACAACACCCCTTTTGATCTTCCCACATAACACTAATTGAAAAAGCAAACAAACCAAAAATCCTGTAGGGTCAACACACCTAAACACTTTATAATGCATGATAATGTTACGTCTAAGACTTACTACCCATGCAGGACACAATTTATTCTGTTCCCATTCCAGCCGTGGTTTGCTTTTAACACCGAGAAAAGCTTTGTGACGGGCTAAGTGCATCAAATTGCCACCTGAAGTAAAAGCAGTCTAGGCAGCCCACACGTGTTTCAACACAGCCTACCAAGCTTCCCCTGTCACAGAGATGCCAACAGACGGGCACATTCCGGCTGGAGGAGGGCTGCCAGCAGATCAGCCCGTAATGCTTGTGTGACGCTCCGGGACCAGCTCCGTCCTCCAGCCGTCCCTCACCTACACGTTTTATCCCTGCCCGTCCGGACACAGCTCAGCCCATCTGAGCTGCTCCGAACCGGGTCATTAAGCGCCTGTGAGGCACCGGGGCTCCGGGAAATGCCGCGGGAGGCGGGATGTGCCGGGATCGCAGCGCAGCTCCCGCAGCAGCCCCTCCTCGGCCCCGCCACCGAGGTACCAGCGGTGCTACCGCCCGCCGAGTCCACTCTGCAGGATGAGGGTCACTTGTCACTCGGTCCCTGTACYATGGTCCTCCCGTCACCCCACAGCTGGTGACAAGGTCACCTCCCCCAGCGCGGTCCCGGCCGGCCGGGCGAGGCGCGGGCTCCCCGCTCCCCTGTACCTCTTTGCGGCGGYGGCGGCGGCGACGGCGACTGGCCCCGGCTGCCGAGCGCCGCCAGCAGCAGGAACAGCRGCAAACTTTCCCGAGCCATGGCTCCCTGGCAGCCGACTCGTCCCGCCGCGGGACGGCCAGGCGAGTGAGCCAGAACCGCCGGGAGAGGAGAGTAGACCCCGGTGCCCCGGGCCGGGAGCGGGAGAGCAGGACACACCCCGGCCCCCCCCACGCACACTCCCCGCCCCGCCGCGGCTCCGCGGGCAGCCGAGGAGCGAGCGGGGTCGGTGGGCAGCGAGGGGCCGGGGCGGGAATCGGGAGGAGCCCGGGGGCAGCCGGGGAGCCAGCGGGGCCGGTGGGCAGCGAGGGACCGAGAGCAGCCCCTGTGCCCCGCGCGTCGGGAGCGTCCCGGAGGCTGCGGGACGGGGGAGCCGTGAGGCGCCGGGCGGGCACGAGGCGCCGCGCGAGGAGGGCGGCACGTGCCTGGCTCCCGCCGGCTGGGAAGCGTTCCCGCCTGGAAGTGCGCTCGCCATTTGCCTTTGTGAGGTTATCCGACGGAGGGAAAAAATACCTGTGCTGTGGTAAAAAAATAGCTTTCTGAGGAAGCACTTGGGAAATGAGCATTGCAACGGAGTCAAGCACATTTTACCTGCCGTTCCTGGGAGTAGTATATCTGCGTGAGCCAGGTGTGACGGGGGAAAATCCATGTTATTACATAAAGGAAAAATTAACCTTGCATTGAAATCAAATGTGTATTAAAAACCATTGCATATTCCTCCTGAAAAAAAAAAAAAGTTCATAAAACCCAGGTTTCATCATGGCACAGCAAGGCTTCCAATCTGGATGTGAGCACACTGAGAAAGGACATCATGGGCTGTTAAAGAGTGAGCTGGGCTCAACTCACAGTGTATCTGTGGCACACAACCAAGATTGTGCTGGCAACCCAGTGCTGACTTGGATGGTGATGGCTGCATCTTCACAAGTCTTGTAGCAYTGCACTTCAAATTGAGCTTTCCTTGTAATTCACATTGAGATTAAGCACTTCTGTGTATTTCACAATATAAATACTTCAGTATCTGTGTGCTGATTGCTGTAGCCAGCAATGAGCGAGGCTGGGGATAAAGCATGCATTTGGTACATTATCTATTTCAGCTCTCAAACCACAGCATTTTTTTATTGGTAAATTTGCCTGTGACTCCAAACCCAACATTCRAGGAATGCAGAATTTTGCACATAATAGACTACTGCGTTCCAGCCACACAACCTGTTTGTTCCTCTCCCTGTCATCCCGCTCCATGCAAACTCGTTCTTTCTCTTCAGAGTGAGAGGAACCCTCTCTTCTGAGGTTTCACCCCAAATGCCCTGAGCTCTGCTGCTGGGTGTCCTGTTACTGGACACTCTGCTTCCATGGYCTTTGGAAGGCCACTGCTCCACCAGCACAGGACAGCAACAATAATGTTCTTGTATGGCTCAGCCATTTGTCACTTGTAAGTCAAAGGAAAATACTCCAGTCCTCTTGCCAAGAGATGATGTATGTGTGGTCTTCTGCACGTCTTACAAGAAAACTCAAGTTCAAGGATCATCTTGATGGTTTTCATCTTGTCAGCTATTTGCTTTGTTGTGGAAGTATACATAATCAGGAACTGAGAGGGACAGAAAGGAAGCTGGTGTTCGTGAGTAACCACAGTTTCTTCACTATCACTGGTTAGTCTGTAAAGTGTTTCTCTACAGGCAGTAACAGTTGCTTCTTTCTTCAGTCTGCTTCTCCCYTTGCAATTCCCTTCCTGCAAAAATTTTGACTGCAAGGAATTGTGTGTATGTGCAAGAGGAATAATCTAGTGAATTGTTAAGTACAACAAATAAAGTAAAAACATTCCACCCAAGAGTATTTCAGTAACTTGGATAATTTAGTGCCAGTTTCATACTTAGGGATCTGACTACATCGATGCCGGTTTGATTCTAATAATGCATTTATTGGTTGAATTTGGTCAAGTGTAGTGACAGCTGCTGCATAAAAGCCACAGTAGTGTGTGTTGCATACTCCCCAGCTGGAGAAATTCCTTCCAGGGTTCCAAAGGTGCCGGGTGCTGTCCATGAGTTTGAGGTAATACTCCAGAAGCAGATTGTAGATACTGAAAGTTAGACCTGAAGGCAGTAACCTCTGCTGCTTTGTGTAAAGGYCTCATCAGATACAAGGTACCTGCAAAACATCTCCATGACTTGTAATCTCCATGGATTTGCAATCAACAGCAGATTGGTTGTAGGGGGAGTCCCTACTTCCCCAAATATCYGTATTACACCAATGTTAGATACAACAGATTATTTACCTGCACTTTTATTTGAATCAGTTTTTCCATTCTTGAGCCCATGTAGTCTTCAATGGAGAGTATGTTGTGAGAACTCAGCCTAGTTTGAGTTGAGCAGCGCTGCTGGCATACCCAGGTACCTCATCACCTGTCAGAGCCAAGACTSACTAACTGCACCAGAGACAGAAACTTTTAATCTTTGGGGACCCCAAGAGGCAAGATATGCCAGGAAGACCTGCTGACTTGTTAAATGATTTTTCCCATCTGAACYACAGGAAACAATATCAGACTATAAATGCCAAGCTGCATCAAGAAGCTTGACAGCAAGACAGCAAGATGGGACCTGCTCCTGAAAGAGAAGCAAGTTGGAAGATGAAGTAACACCACTGTGGCAGGCAGGGCAGTGGCCTCCCACAGTCTCCACATGAAGAGGGAACAGATCTGGGGATGATAACAGTGATCAAACAAAATTAGAGATCTCCAGACAGGTTCATAGTGGGGAGACAGATCTGAGGTCAAGTCTGCAAATCAGGGTCAGGATCATCGTGTTGCAAAGCCAGGCACAGGTGTAGCTGCAAYGTGAAACAGGCTGGGACTGGGGCAAGGGCTTGAACCTAAATGCAATACCTACTCCTTAAAACAGGGAGAAACCAACCGAGTCTCTCCAAGCTCTTCCTCACACATCAAATGTGTCATCACTGCCTGACACATGGTTACATAGATGTGCCAGGTCAGAAGTAGCCTTGAGCATAGGCAGCCAAACCCATAGGAATGAGATGAGGCTGACAAGCTAGATAAGAAACTTTCCAGCTACAGCAGTGGCTAAAAGGGCATTARTGATTGTCTGTACTGAGGATGGAACTGCTAGGCTGAGAGGAGGATGTGAGTAAAATCYGATAAGGACTCATCTGGAAACTCATATGACTTAATAGTTTCATGACTTTTGCATTAAAGARAGGGCCTTTTAAATTAATTCTGCTGATAAAATAAGATTGGGGAGGACCCATGTGTACTTTGTAAATTTAAGCGTTTAGATATATGTATTTAGGTATACCAATATATATGTACAGTGTGTGAGTTTATACAATTTTTATTCTCAATGACTCAAGAATAAAAAAATTAGAATATCCTAAATACTRTAAGATCCTGGGTCATGCCAATAAGGCCTATCAGTAACAGTTTCTTATGAGAATGATCAGTAAAATTATAACCCCAWACTTCAGGGTGGAAGTCAGTGAGTCACAAGGCAGTTTTGAGTCACCAGAATGATGCAGCTATGAAATAAGCAAGGAGAACCTAGGATACATAAAACCTAGCATCAGGGGAGATATTTCCAGTGAAGATATGAAAATTAATACTGTTGCATCCCACCTAGGATATCACAGGGAATTACAATCACGCATGTTCAAGAAGAATTTATTCAAACTTAAACAGAGCAGAGGCCTCTGGGGAAGGAAGAGCTTATCTGAGACACATAGATTAGAAGGGTTTGATTTGTTTAACCTACGAAAATAAGATGTGAGACTGCTCTAAGCGTAACAAGGATGTTAATGGTTGCAATTGTCATAAAAGGRAAAGAGCATAAGCAAGATACAGATCAGCATAGCCTAGAAAAGGAAAATAGTTTCTAATCGTAAGGTGTGGAAACAGCCTTCTGTTAGGAGAGCAGAGGGAAAAAAAATAATCGATTTAAAAGTAGACCTTRGCAGATTTATGAAAGTAATTCCATGACAAACTTGCCTGCAAAAGGCAGGAGGAATGGATTTGATAACCTGTGCGACCCTGTTGTGTGTTCTTAAGTGGACTGCAATCAAAGGATAAAGAAAATAAACATTAAAAACGAGYTTTAAAGGATAAAGAGAAGATTCAGATACAGCATTTAGGATGGGTAGAAATATGTGAACCACAAGAATCAAAGTATTAACCCGTTTTGGGGGCAAGGTGAGACACGTTCTGTGATTGGGACCCAAGTCAGGAGGAACCAGGATGTTCTCATGCCAGCGTAATGATCACCCAAAGCCCGTGTCAGAGAAGAGGCTGGCAAAAGACAAGTTAAAGACAGACAGGGTGTAAAGAAATGAGGTATGTGACAATGAACCAGTATCAAAGTAGAGACCAGAATTAAAGATCAAAGTAGACAAAGGACACATGAAGAAAAGACCGAATCTAACACTGATAGAAAACTATTCTTGTGAAGCCCTCTGTTGCCAGGGTCACCGAGTATTGTGAGTTTAAAAGCTGATGCAGATAACTGCAGGTCAGAAAGCAATCCTGTAAAATTAAGGGGGAAAGAAAGGAAAAATAATCAAAAGAACAGGGGAAGGATAGGGTAGGCCTGGGCCTAGGTAATAAAGAGAGGGTGACTGTAATTTGGCGAGAAAGACTGTGAAGAGAGGATGACAGCAACAGCAGTCACTGCATGCTGAGGAGGCTAGAGTCAAGAGCAGAGTCGTTRGAGTTTGATGAGCTACACATGGCCTCAGGATGGAGCTCATTTCAGAATAGAGCTCATTTTGTTTCAACCCCTCCATTTTGCCTTGCTCACCACCTCTGTAATTAGTCAGACTAATAAGTATACCCAGCCCACTTACTGTCATTATTTATCATTAACTCTTATAAAAGCTAAATGCCCATCTGTTAWTACTTCAGTATTGGTGCTTACACATAAGGAACAGACAGGAGTCATGGTCTTGCCTGATAGTGGATTCTGAGGGCCATTTGGAAGTGCCACTTATTTCTGGTCTTGACTTCTAATGACTTCCTTTATGCCTACACTGCTATTTGAAGTGGCTTTTGTTTTAATTTTGATCCTGTAAAAATAGAAGAGCAACCTCAGTTAGTTATGTTAGCTTACGTTTAGCTAAGAATATGAAGCAGAAAACAAATAGAATTTCTCAGCCCATAATTAATTTTRCAACCAAAGTCTTTATGTACCCTTCATAAATAATATACCTGTTGCAAAGCCTTTTGTGGCTCTATTTTCAGAGAATAAGATAGCTGCCAAAAAAGACTTACTGATTTTAATAGCTACTCATTACAAAGAAACTAGAACTTAGTCTGAAATGACACATAATCATTTCAGTTTTAGAATGCATTTAAAAATACTTTCTGTCATTCATTTTTTTTGGTCTGTTGTATGTGAGAAACTGTCAAAATTKTTATATCCAATTAATAACAAAAGTTAGCATCTACTAATTTTGCCCTGAAGTGTAACTTTGCCTCTCATGGAATGGAAATGAAGATTATTTGGCTGATTCATCAGTGCGGGTTTTATGTTTCCCTGCCAGCCATTAATGAATTGTAAAAAATAATTGTAAAAACACAAGATTAAACCAATTCTGCAGAATTAGATTGACTTGCCTTCCTAAAAATGGATATTACTGCAAAACATGCAGATAGGG